CTCTTAACTCTTAACTCTTAACTCTTAACTCTTAACTCTTAACTCTTAACTCTTAACTCTTAACTCTTAACTCTTAACTCTTAACTCTTAACTCTTAACTCTTAACTCTTAACTCTTAACTCTTAACTCTTAACTCTTAACTCTTAACTCTTAACTCTTAACTCGCTCCAACAAATAGTTGAAATAGGACTTAATTAGTCATTCTAATTCTGGTCATTTAGATATTAACTTTAATCAATTGATTAGAGTTAATATCTAAATGACCAGAATTACAATGACTAATTAAGTCCTATTTCAACTATTCTTTTGGACTTTGTATATTCTAAAAAGCTACAGACATTTTCTAACTATGGATTTTGAGATTAAATTCTAGTCTCTTAAAGATTTTTCAACTAGATCCATTTACAGATTCAGTTGAAAAATGTTAAAATGACTACAATTTAATCTACAACATCCAAAGTTGGAAATTCTCTGTAGTACTTAGTATAATCTAGAAAGTTAAAGGCTTAATATACTAAGTACTAAAGAGGATTTAAAATTTGAATTAACTTCCTAGATTAAAGTGTATGCATTTATATATTTTTCAAATAAATCCATTCCAACAGATTTGAAAAATATATAAATGACTAGACTTTAATCTAGGAAATTAGTTCAATTTTTTTAATTCTCTGTAGTACTTAGTATATTCTACTAGTTAAAGACATAAAATTTAAGCTTTAAATTTAATTTTAACTCACCACTTGCTGTCTTTTCTTGTTTCCAGGCTCTATGACATCCTTCCCCTGGAGGCTCTACAGACCCGGTGGACCTTTGTGGTAACTAATAAAATCCTCAAAAGGCTTCTTCCACCTGGAAAACCTACTTCTTGACTCTGGAAATGCCTGGGAAAAAAAAAATAAAACACTCAAACTGTTGTCCAGCTACATGACTCAAAAGAAATTCAGAAAATGAATCCTATCTTTCCTAGGTCTTTAGTACTTACTATATTCTAAAAAAGTTAAACGTTTAACTAATATACTAAGTACTAGTAGAGAATTTAAAATATGGATATTCAAAAGTAAATTCGAAGCATTTAAAGATTTTTCTACTAAATCAATTTTAACAGATTTAGTTGAAAAATATTTATCAATCAATTCAACTGATTGGTATTAATATATACATGACTCTAAATAAATGCAGAAATTAAATCCTATTTTCACTAGGTCTTTAATACTTTGAAGGAAAATTAAAGTCAAACACATTAAAGGTTTAACTAATATACTAAGTACTAGAGACAATTTAAAACTTTGGATTTTCTAGATTACATCAGTCATTTAAATATCTTTCTACTAAATCCATTTCAACAGATTTAGCTGAAATATATTTAGACAACTACAATTTCATCTACAAAATCCAAAGTTTTAAATTCTCTCTAGTACTTAGTATAATCGAAACAGTTAAAGGTTTAACTAATATACCAACTACAAAAGAGGATGAAAACTTGGAATTTATTTCCAATCATTACAATACTTTTCAACTGAATCTGTTAAAATGGATTTAGTTGAAAAATATTTAAATGACTAGAAAATTCAACATTTTAGTTGGAATCCTCTTTTGTACTTAGTATATTCAAATAAAGGTAAGCTTAAATTAAATTTGAACTCACCACTTGCTGTCTTTTCTTGTTTCCAGGCTCTGTGGACCTTTGTGGTAACTCTGCTCTAATAAAAGGCTGCTTCCATCTGGAAAACCTGCTTCTGGACTCTGGAAATGCCTGGAAACAAATCTGGATCAGACTCTGGATTTTTAAGAGACCAAAGAGCCAAAATGGTCCAAATGCTCACACTCTGGAAAACTTTTCCAAACCTTTGACTCTTTTCCTGGACCTGGAAATCCATCAAACTGTGTACAAACCATCAAAATAAAGAAGAAAAAAAACTTACGAAAAACTGGCATTTCTCAGTAGACCAGAGG